AAGAGCTTCTGTTTGAAACCCAGGAAGCCCACCCTGAAGGTGCAAGTCTGAATGGGGCCCCAGAAAACCTCCCTTAAAAGCAAAATGAGACTCTTATTCTTGGGCATTGTCTTTTTAAGGCAGTGGAACTGCTCAGATCCTTCATTTCTACCCTTTCAGAGGGGCCCAGGCCAGCTGAAGCAGTAAAGAATGGAAAAGAAATTAAGAGCTTACCTTGGAGTCCAGTTCAAACCCTTAGCTCTTTCACTTTGATAAGTTACTTAACTTTTCTTGGTTTTGCTTTGTTTGAGGCAAGTTCTTGCTGTGTATCTCCAGCTGCCTGGTACTCATTATACAGCCCAAGCTCATCATGAGCTCAAGGCAAGCCCCCTGCCTCACTTTGCCACGTGCTGAGATTCCAAGCCTGATTGAAATGACTCAACCTTTTCTCTAACACATCTGCTGCATGTCGGATGTTAGAGTCATTGGGTGGGTACCTGGCTGTGTCATTTCTGTGACCTCCTGATTGTCTAATGCTTGTGGCTCCCACTTTTTTGTCATCCATTCATCCCTTGAGTAAATATTTGCCGAGTATCTAGAATATGGAATGCATTATTCTAGAGGTTACAGCAGGAAACCAGAAGACAAATATCTCTGCTATCTTGAGACTTACACCTCATGTGCAGAAACAGATGAAAATTAAGGACCTTGCATATGAGAAAAAAAAAGATGTGACGAATAACAATAAAGCATGGGAAGGATTCAGGATGCTGGGAACGGAGAGGGGATAACTTGTGGAAGAGTCCATTGTATTCAGGATGCTGAGAACAGGACAGGGGTGTCATTTATCAATGGGAATCCATTGAAGGTTGTCCATGTTCCTTGCTTGGAGGACAAGTGCTTACTAAATGCTTTGCAAAGCACTTGCAGGGGCATCTGATTTGGGAGGCTGTTGGGACTACTATTATGGGTTCATGGAGATGTGTTAGGTACATGGAGTTAGAGACTCACTGAACCTGGATCAGTACCTGGCTCATCACAGTGCCTATGTTGCTTTGGTGCCGCCTGTTGCCCGGATGCCCCAGGGTAACCATGGCAATGAGAAGTAGAGTTGGAAGGATGGAGTGAACATCCTTAGCCCCTTCTGTCCATTATGAGTCTCGTAGATGTAAACTAGTACTCAGTCCTCATGGGAGAGGAGCCTAGAGACAACACCTATAAAGAGGGTGCCTTTATACTTACAGTGTCTTCCAAGTTGACCCTTCATGATTTAAGTTGGCTCAAAGTGTTGACTCTGCTCCCCTGTTGATACCCATACTCTCAGTTGCTGCCATCTTCCAAAACAAAACAAAGTCCTTGGTAGTACCTATGGCATGAGTAACTTCTTCTAATCTTGAGGAATGGGTAATTTTATTTGCTCATCCTAACCAAAGTGCATACTTGCGGCTTATCATTTTTGAAATGGCAGTAAACATGGAACCCAGTCCCCTAAGGTCATGGGCATTTCATTTTGGAGATGACTCGTGCATGAATATTACATTTGAGTATTATGACCCTGGACAGCACATTAAAATTACAAGATGCTATTAGCTTGTAATGAAATGTGGAGTTTAAATGTTGTTCCATGGAAGGAGGAATTTGCTAGCTAGCCCCCTCACCCATCTCTCAGATGGCATGGTTTCCATATGGATTTTCACATAAGTGATCTGAAATTAAATTAGCATGGTTGTGTACAGTCACTGGACACTATCTTGTGATTATTAACAGCCAGAGTCAGGCAGGATTTGATATTTCAAAGCTCATGGCTTCCTTTCAGAGTCCAGCATGCTTTTGTGGAAGGGAGAGTGTGGCTATAACCAAGAGCTCACACAGGATTCCTCAGGAAGAATGGGTCTTTATGTATGAACTCATTAGAAAAAAGTAAGATCAGGGACATGGGTCACCTATGTCTTCTGCACAGCTGGGTGTTCAGGTGGATTCTGCTGGCATGTGAGTCCTCTGTGTGTCTTTGGAAAAGGGGTCAGCCCAACATGGTGGAGGGATGCTGCAGACATGACAAGAAGAGTCACACAGAGGTTTGCTAATCAAAGCTTCAAAGATGCAGATTCCTGCACCAGTCCATGGCTCAGAAGGCTAGAATAGTAGAAAGATCCCTGCTTTGGGAGCCTTCTGGGCTGTAAGCTGCCACAGATACCTACATTTCCTTCATGCGTGATCCCCAAGAGCACCTAGAAACATGACTAGCACACAGTAGGTATTCAATAAAGAATCACTGTGAGTGAACTGGGAGTTCAAGAAGAAAGCTTGTTCACAGCTCTGCCCGCACTCCTGACACACAGACTTCTTTAGATCTTGTCTAAGGAGCTTTGATTTTCCTGGCTGCAGAGAGAGAGAGAGACACAGAGAGACAGAGAGAAGAAATGCTACTTCTGCCCCATCTGTCCTGCATAGTCCTATAGTCCTAAATGAGATTGTGTGTGTGTGTGTGTGTGTGTGTGTGTGTGTGTGTGTGTGTGTGTGT